ATTAAATTGATAAAAAAGAGAAAAGTCAATCAGAACAGAAGGAAATACACACACACACACACACACCCACACACACACACACACACACACACCCCAAAAACAAACAGACAAAACCACCACCCCACCTCCGAAGTTATAGCTGAGGTTTACTCAGGTGGGGAGGGTGGGGAGATACAGGGCTGGAGTGGGGAGCCAACCAGAGGTCTTGTGGAACCTTGTAGGCAACTCGAAGGGGACTGTGCTGGCTAGTTTTATGTCAACTTGAAACAAACTACAGTCATTTAAGAGCAGGGAACCCCAGTTGAGGAAACACCTCTGTAAATCTGGCTGCAGGCAAGCCTGTAGGGCATTTTCTTAATTAGCGATTGGTGAGGGAGGGCCCAGACCGTTGTGGGTGGGGCCATCCCTGAGCTGGTGGTCCGGGGTTCTATAAGAAAGCAGGCTGAGCAAGGCATGAAGAGCAAGCCAGTAAGCAGCACTCCTCCATGGCCTCTGCATCAGCCTCTACCCCCAGACTCCTGCCTTGTTTGAGTGTTGGTCTGGACTTCCTTTGATGATGAACAGTGATATGGAAGTGTAAGCCAAATAAACCCTTTCCTCCCCAGTTTGATAATAGAACCCCTAATCAGAACAGAAACCTGCGCACCGTCCTGAAGGAAGGAAGGCAAGTGGGACACCACACAATGGACATTGCTTTTGTTTTGTCCTGCCTTTGGAGACAAGGTCTTACTCTGTAACTCTGGCTGGCCAAAAAAACATATGCAGATCCCCCGCCTCTGCCTCCAGGGTGCTGAGAATGCAAGCCTGGTCACTATGCCCAGCTTGTGATTCGGATTTTAGAGAAACCTCTCTGCTGGGGCAGTCCTCTTATTATTCTACTGTTACCCTCCATACCAGGAATGGGGGCCCAGTCACATGCTTGGGCAAAAATCAAGCTTAAACCCAGCCGTCCTGTCCTGTCTTCGGCACCCAAGGGCTTAATCTCTGTGCTTGTCTGCAGTTGTGAAGGCATTGGGTGGAGAGTCCAGGGCTGATTTAGGGGGGGGCCCATCCCAATATCAGGGGGAGAGGAAGAAATAAAATCTTCCTACTCAGTCTCTGGGCTCAACAGTGAATCCAGACCAATGAGCAGGTTTTCTGTCCCATCTACCACAGGTCTGGGATTCTGGGACCGGTTCCAAGTCAAGGAGAGGGTTCCTGTGTCATCGCTGTTACTGTTACAATGGTCCTCCCAGGAGATGATGAGCAGGGTGAATGTCACCCCAAGTGCCCAGGGAAACTGAAGTCCTCTTTACCTTATCCTTCCTCTGCAGGAGCTCTGGGGAAGGGTACACGCCCCCAGTAAGGTCCTCGGAGGGTTTCTCTGGCCTCCCCTGTCTTTCCAGAATTCTGTTCCTCTCAGAGGAATCCCTGGATTCAGTCTGGATGGGGGGACACTCCTATTGTGTCACATGTGGGTGGCCCGGCCCAGTCTGGTTGTCTCTGGGTCAAGTCTGGCCTTGACCTGTCTAAGGCTGGCCTGTGACAATTTCCTTGGGGGCTGAAGGATTTCTCTATCTGAGAAGGGCAGAGTCCCCGTGGGCCAGAGCTGAGAAAACAGACCTGTTTCCTGGTACACAATTTCCACTCAGCTGTGTGGTTTCTGTTTGTGTTTTCCATGGTCCACCGTTTGCACTGCTGCTACACCATCTACATTTTGCTGAACGTTTCTAGGGACCAGCTGACGTCAGGAGACCCCAGAACTGTGCGTAACATGGCTGATTCATCTCCCCAGGCAGCGGACATCTCGACCTGCCCCTGGAGCTCTGCTTTGTCTTCTGTAGGTCAGGGCGCTGGTTTAATTTTTTAATAAATAAAATGGAACCTGACTCACGACTCAAGAGAGGCTACAGCTTGCTCAGTACCTCCAGTGTCTCCATGGCAACAGAGCCATCCGTGAGCACTTGAAAATGTCATTATCAACAGAGACCTTGCATATCCCTTCTCACCTCACAGCAACAGCCTTGGAGCCTCCCCAGCTTTCTCACCCTTGAGGTGGGAGGCTGGATAAATAACCCAGGCTGGACCACACCCCCTCCCAAGAGCAGGAAGTTGAAACTACGCATCCTTGTCCAACCTGCCTACCACTGGGATGTCCTTCTGGAATGGGTTGGGTGGGGGACAGGAATCTCTTTTATGCTGGGACAGGCACTAAGAGTGGGTGGGAAGCCTACACTGGAGCCCCAAAGTTTATGGTTGTCATTCCTAAAGTTGTCTGGTGGATAGACCGCATCGCGGCTGAGGCCTAGAATTCAAATAACGTCCAGGAGCTGATGGCTACAGTGATGACTGACCACCTACCAGCTGTCAGACGGAAGGTAATATCCTATACATCTTATTTTCACGTCCTCACCGGAACTACTCACCTAGTGACGATCTAAATGAGGGCATGAGTTTCAGCTCATTTAGTAACGATGATGCGGAGCATGTGTGACTTGCCAGACACCCCATCAAGCACGTTAATGTTTAATTTCAAGCAGAACACATACGGTTACCCCTGCTTTACAGATGAGTGGACTGGGATCAACGGAGGCGAAGTAACTGCCCAAGGCCACTTATTGAAGGGCGAAGCTGAGTTTCAGGTTCAGGACTGAGTTTGACCTGTGTCTGTGGTCTTGTGACTGCCGAAGGCCCAATGGGGGTTCAAGTTCTGGGCTCAGTAGACAGAGCTTCCAGGACTGCCTGGTTTAAATGTCCTCCAGGAGCCTAGACTGACATTTCTTCCCTGAGGTGGCCCCTGGTGGCCCTCGTCAAGGTGACCCGAGGAGACTGGGTGTTTCTCGTCCACTAGCACCTACGGTTTCAGATTCAGAGGCGCAGGCTACAGGACCATAGGCTAATGGTAAAGAGCTACCACTTGAGAATGTATAGTTAACTGAACTCCTGAGGGTGGGGACCATGTCTTCTTTGAGGCATGCTCAGGGTCTAGCAAGGATGTGGCCCAAGGTCGGGGCTTGATAGCATTTGTAGATCTCAAATGAAGAGTGAGTGGGCACCCCCAAGACCTTCACACTTCCCATTCCTCCACTGCCTCAGCTTGGTGGGACTGTCTGCCAGGCTCTGTCCACTCACTGCTGTGACATCCCCTGCAATGGACAAAGCAGGCCACTTGCTGCTAAAGGAGTCTTTTTTTTTTTTTTTTCAAGACAGGGTTTCTCTGTGTAGCTTTGCGCCTTTCCTGGAACTCGCTTTGGAGACCAGGCTGGCCTCGAACTCACAGAGATCCACCTGTCTCTGCCTCCACCACCGCCCGGCTAAAGGAGTCTATTTTGATAGCAGGAAGAAACTCAGTCTCTAAGCAGGCTTTCCGGAGTGAGGTGAGATGCATCACTTGGGAGGCTGAGGAAGGAGAATTGAGAGTTCAAAGCCAGCCTGGGCGACATAGTGAGACCCTGCCAAAGTTAAAAAAGAAGAAAGAAAGAAAAAGAAAGCATGCAGGTGGAGAAAAGGAAGGAAGAGGTAGTGTCCTGACCTCCAGGTCAAGATCTTAGGTGACAGCCCACAGTGCAGGGGACAGCTTGGGATCTCTTTAGCTTTCTTCCTCTGAGAAGTGCTTATCTCTAATAATAGTAGTAGTCATAGTAAACTGTATTTCATTTTTCTGAGACAATTTCTCACAGTGTAGTCTTGGCTGGCCTTGCATTAACAGAAATTCACCTGCCTCTGTCTCCTGAGTGCTGAGATTAAAGTTGTTTACCACCACACTTGGCAAGTTTAAATTTAAATGTATTATTATTACTGTGTGCATGTGTGCATGATATATGTATGGGAGTGGCTGTGATGCCACCCACATGGAAAGGCCAGAGGACAACTCTTGGGAGTTAGTTGTCTCTTTCCACCTCTACGTGGGCCCCATGAAGAGGACTTGGATTTTCAGACTTCCACAGCAGGCTCCTCACCTGCTGAGCCCTCTTGCTGGCCCCTAACTTGCTTTTAAAATGTATATAAAAAGTGGATAGAAATTCTAAAAGCAAAAACATTAGCAGACACTTTTCTGGAAGTGAGGCTACAGGTTGTACGTGTTCTTCTGTTTATCTCCATTTTCTAGTTTTCCAACAACAAATGCAAATGCAAACTGTATTACTTTCTTTTTCTTTTCTTTTTTTTTTTTTTTTTTGGTTTTTTGACAGGGTTTCTCTGTGTAGCTTTGTGCCTTTCCTGGAACTCACTCTGTAGCTCAGGTTGGCCTCGAACTCACAGAGATCTGCTTGCCTCTGCCTCCGAGTGCTGGGATTAAAGGCATGTGCCACCACCGCCTGGCTACTGTATTACTTTCTAAGTAAGGAAAAAAACCAATACATAGTACGTGTTGTGATTTTACTATGATCCACCTGAATCTCAGTCATAAAAATACCTTATCAGTAGGGTGGTTCAACTGGTGAGGTGCTTGTCACCCAAGGTGAGGACCTGAGTTCATTCCCTGTCTCCCACATAAAAAGCCAGAGGTGATGGCACATGCTTGCGATGGCACATGCTTACAATCCCCGCACTGGGAAGGCAGAGTCAGCTGGATCCCTGGGGCTTGCTGGTCAACCTCAGTCTGATTGACAAGCCACAGATTTTAGTGAGAAACTCTGTCTCAGAAAAATAATGTGGACGGCACCTGAGGAGTGACACCTGAGTCTGATTTTCTGCTTCCATACACACGTGCTCACACATGTGCCCTTATACTACCATACATGCACACCTACCCATGGGTGACCATGCACATGCCCTCTTCAAAAAATACATTAAAAAACAATTTGTAAGTTTGTTATCCCAGTCCTTGGGAAGACAATGCGGGAGAACTGAGTTTGAGATCAGTCTGGGCTATGTAGTGAGACCCTGGATTTTTTGTTTTTATTTTTTTATATTTTATTTTTTATAATAGAATCAGAACCTTATGATTACACCAGGAAAAATCCCTTAGAAGATGTATATTTGTATAAACAAGGACGCAAGAAACTGTTCAAAATATGGGAAATGGCTTTGCAATCATGAATCCTTTTTAGAGTTTATTCACTTATTTTGCGTTTGTGTGTATGTATGTGTGCCTGTGAGAGTTATGTGCACCATGTTCATGCAGGAGCCCAAAAAGGTCAGAAAAGGGCATCAGATTCCCTGGAACTGGAGTTACAGGTGGTTGTGGGCCAGATGTGCATGCTGGAAACCAAACTCAGATCCTTTGCAAGAACCCTGCATGCTCTTAACTGCTAGACATCCATCCCTCCAGCTCCATGATTTCTTCCATTACACAAAAAGAATAACATGGCATAAATATACACGAGGGGAAATATGTTAATACACTAATGGTCTGGTTCTAGAGGGGAGGAGCTAATATGCCTTATATTTCCCATTCTATGCTTCAATTTTCGTGACTCCTACCCCCAATGAAATCATGCTCTTCTTATTCTATTTTACCTTCGTGTGGAGGAACTCAAACTCTCACTTGTCCTAGACCTGTGCTTCCTCTCCTCACCTGCACCTCCAGACCCTTCTCTTCTTTACTTAGAAACATTTTTACTCAAAGAAATTTTAACAGTACAGAAAAGCACTTTGCAAACAATAATAAAGCATATATTCTTCTCCCTCCAACATTAAAATCACTAATATTTTATCCTATGTAATTACAGTTTGTATTTTAAAGAAATAAGCAGAGTCCATTTATAAAGGTACAGTATGATCATGGAAACTATTTCAATTAGAGAGACCTGACTCATGGGGACAGTCCAGCATGGGTGCTCCTACCAGGCCCGGCAAAGCCATGATTAGGAATTTTTAACTTCCGTCCACCTTTAGCTAGAGGCTTGGCTCTTGGTGACTATTTCCAGGATGGAGGCAGCCTGGGGCCAGGGCGCCAGTTTAGGCTGGCACTTCCTTTGGAACCTCAGTGGCAGGCTGGGAGAGGCCAGGAGCAGCCAGTACTTCCCTCCTGAGGTCAGCCGGTGCCCAGCTAGTGTTTACACACAGGGTGGGGCCTGTGCCTCCGGCTCTGAGCCCTTTGCTCTCAGGGGAGCTGGTCCTGGGCAGGCCACAAGCAGAGGATGGTGAAACCACTGTCTCCTGCAGGCCCAGAGACCACAGTGTGGGGAGGATTCTGGGAAAGAGCACCCCCACCTCCAAAGGTGGCCAGATGGTCAGGGAAGGCTGTGAGGACCCAGAAGGAAGAAGTTATAAAGAGGATGAGGTGGACTCTGTCACCTTTATCAGTCACCTGCCCATAGGAAGGCCACTGGATGAGGACCCAGAGCCTCAGAAGGGCAAATGAAGGCACTTGTCCATGGCCTTCTGGCTCCAGTCATCCAGGTTGAGATTGATGCTGACTCCGAGGCTGGGACTCCTGATATCACAGCAGATGGTGGCATCCTGTGGTGCTGTCACGAGAGAGACTCAGCCTGCAGCAAGGCTGGGGACATGTGGAGATGGCTTTCCAGGAGGTGGATGTCTGGGGATGAGACATTCGAGGGTGTCTGTCTTTTCCTGAGTTTGCAGAGAACAAGACTTTCAGGGTCCACAGCCTGCTCTCCAGGAAAATATTTCCGCAGGACTGAGAAGGGGTGAGAGTAGCAGACCCAGTACTGGGTCCACCGGCCCTGCCAAGTCTCAGTCCTTCTAAATCTGGCGTGCATCCCAGAGAAAGACCAGGCCTCGCTGAGGCAGATCTTACTTCCTTGCCTCAAATGCCAGCACCCATGGAGCTTCTGTGCAGAGCCACAGACAGAGTCACAATAAGTTCCCTGGGTAGCCTGCATTTTATTTTTGTTTTTGTTTTTGTTTTTGCAGGCAGTCCTGGCTGTCCTGGAACTTACTCTGTACACCAGGCTGGCCTCGAGCTCATTTATCTATCTGCCTCTGCCTCAGGAGTGCTGGGATTAAAGGTGTGAGCCACCACTGCCTGGCCTACTTGCATCTTTTATCATACTAGATTGGTTAAAATTCTGTCTCTGCCACCTTCAGGCTGTGTGATCTTAGGCAGGTTCCTTAGTATCCCCAAAGCTTGATGCCTTTATAAAACTGGGATGCGCTGGGTGGTGGGAGAGGAAGAGGCAGGTGGATCTCTGTGAGTTCGAGGCCAGCCTGGTCTGCAAAGTGAGTTCCAGGACAGCCAGTCTGGTTACACAGAAACCCTGTCTCAAAAAACCAAAAATAAATTAATTAATAATATTAATAATAAAACTGCGATGCTGCTAGTAACAATGACAGCAAAGGATCATGTCTTGTCCTGTGACTGGAGGGTTAAACACGATAATATGCCAGAAGTGACTGTGGATTTTGCACTCACCAGGAGAACAGCAATGTGAGGTAAGGGCACCTGTGTCTCCCCTCAGCCTCCCTCCTGCCTTAGATTCAGTCCTTAGTCTCCAGTGGCAGAGGGGCCACATAGCCTCTGTCTCCTTCCCCAGTTGCTGAGCAGTCCCCTGATGGGAATGTGGCAGCAGCTGGTAAGCAACCAGAGAGAGGACGGTGGAGGGAGAAGTATCGCTGAGTCTGAGATCCCAGGGACATGGTGCCAGTCCTTGGGTGCCAGCATGTGGACATAGACACACAGACCCCAAATCTTCGCACTTCCAACTTCGATAGCCACATATTGGGCTCCCTTTTCTCCCTTGTCCCTGCTTCCTGAATATTCTCATAGGTAGGCTACTGATGTCTCATGCTGCCCAGGCTGGTGTCGTCGTTGTCGTCATCATCGTCCTCGTCATCATCATCATCATCATCATCATCATCAACAGTGGTGGCTGGTCCCATTGACTGACTATTTATTTCATACCAGGCAATGAGAGATCTTCTCCACAGTTTGATGAAGACACTGAAGTACCAAGAGGCTATGTTGTTTTCTGAAGTCACAGATAAGAAGTGGCCCTGCTGTGATTCTTACTAAGGCTAGGGGAATGTGAGTAGCAGTAAAACCCACTGAACAGGAAGGCATCCCAGACTCTCCTATTGCCAAGATTCATGTGTGGAACGCAGTGGGGTCTGGCAGCCAGCAGCATGACCACCTGAGTTGGCAACCACGGGGTACTGTGGTGGCTTAGTTACAGAATGAGGTCCTAGTAACCCTCACATGTGGTGTTTACCTAGCACTTTGCCCTGTGAGGTTCTTCCCAGATCCAGCAGGGGTTGGAAGCAACTCCCGTGACTATCTCCTTCCAATCTGGGCCAGGCAAGGTCTAGGTAGGGCACCAGTGCCAGATCCAATGACAGAAATGGTTGCCAAGTTCAAAGGAAGTGAAGGGCTGAGGGAGTGGGCAGACAGGCTGTGAACAGCTGTGAACACCACCGCTAGCCCTGAGGCTGCACAGAGCGGAGGAGGTGCAAGAGTTCGGTACTTGGGGCTGCCACCAAGAGAGCAGTTATCATCAGAGATGCCAGGGATTGAGAAAAATGCTCGCCTTCCTGCTCCCATCTTCCTCTAGCACTTGCGTGGAGTAATTCTAGTCAGAAGCCAGTGGGCAAGGAGCTCTGAGGCATGAAATTTGCCTCCAAGGTGCTGAGTGGAGAAAGGCAGGGGATGAATGTGTCCAACAAAGCATGACTAGGACCAGACCTCCTACGGCTACCTCCTGTCCCCATGGCCACTCCCATCTGCCAAGACCTGCTCTTGGGTGAAGAACTGGTTGACAGACTCCCACTGCCCATGACCGTATTTCCTCTAGGAAAGAACCTCTGCCCACCCCGAGACTGTCTTCATCTTCTGCCTTTCTCTGTATGTAGTTTTGGCCACAGGCTGGGAGCTGTTTCCAGGCTCAGCAGTGTCCAGGGAGAGAGAAGAAGAGGGTTCCCTGAAGCTCTCACATAAACACAAGAACGTTCTTCCTAGAAGCTCTCACTTCCCTTCTGTTTACTGGCCTTAACTAGCTCACATGCTCGGTCCCGAGTCCATTTCTCAGAGCTGAAGGGCCAGGTGTTTACAGACTGTTGGAAAAGCTGCCTCTGAATACAGAAGTACAAGCAAAACAGAAAAAGATGCCTGTCTCATGTAATACTTTAGATAAAAACAGTCCAAGACTGGTGGGAGGCTTGGCCATCATCTGCACACAGTTTCCCTTTTTAGCTCTGAGGAGAGTGATTCAGTTTCTGTCACCTCCTAGTCAGGGAGAAGGACAAGGGAAGGGTTCAGGAAGCAGTATACACTCCCTCTGAGGGCACAGCTTAGAAACAATACAATTATTTCTACTCACTGTACATTTGTGAGAGCTTAGATTCATGGCCACGTTCAGCTGCAAGGGAGGCTGGGAAATGTAGTTTTCACCAAAACGGAGCCAACTGCTCAGTCAAAAATCAGTTTTACTCTTTTTTAAATTTAATTTCATGTGCATGTATGTTTTGCCTGCGTGTGTGTGTGTGTGTGTGTGTGTGTGTGTGTGTGTGTGTGTGTGTGTGCGCACTTTGTGTACCTTGTACCAAAGAAGACCCGAAGAGGGTGTCAAATTCCCTAGAACTGGAGTTGTACACAGTTGCAAGGTGCCGCGAGGGCGCTGGAAACTGAACCCAGATCCTTTGGAAGAGCAGCCGGTGCTCTAACCACTGAGAAGTATCTCTAGCCTCCAGTTTTACTCTTAAAGAAGGGGAGAATGGATATTTGTGGATCAAGGAAGTCTTGTTGCACAGGAATTCAAGCCTGAGTTTCTGGGTCGACTCTTGGAAGGGTGGTGAGCCCATGCTTGAGTTGCATACTGGTCATCTCTGCGGAGGCTCAGGCTTTTGCTTGTTGCAACAGCTGAGCTGCTGTTTGGAGTTACACGCGGAGCTTTGCATTTCCTCGGCTCCCTGAGGGAACTGAAAGGAGGAAGGAGCATTGGATAGTCAGTCACCCAGCACAGTTTACTTCATTACCTGCCTGTGAGGTCCTCAGACCATGGAGGAGGGACAGACTTAAACAGCTAACGATGGGCCAACGTGACAAATGGTCACGTAGTAGCAATAGAAGGGCCATATAAAGCCCAGGGGAAGCAGATGGAAAAACTGAGAGAAGTGTCTTCAGGGAGGGAGAAGAGCATTGAGAGTGTGTTTCAGCTGGGTCTTAATTGGTTTGTGAGAATTTCACAAACCCTTGGTAGGGAAGGGGATTTAGACAGAGAGAAGAAGACTATAGAGGTGTGGAGGCTCTCAGGGTGTGTCTTGTGTAGCCAGAGAGCAGCAAGCTAGAGGCCTGTTGGGATAGGACAAGGAAGAGCACCGGAAGCCCTGGGAAAAAGGCAAGCTGCGTGACAGACTTTGGAAGTCAAGAGGGTCAAGACAGGGGAGGTGTGATCAGATTGATATCTTTTTCTGAGGTAGAGACTGGAGAATGACTCGTTAGGGAGCTATTTCATGAATCTGAGTGAGTAAGAAGACAGCCTACATCACACCAGGGGTTTGGTGGGAATGGAGGCTGCGAGCCGGTTCGCGTTCTACCCTAGGGTAGAATGACACAGCTTGGTAACCGGTTGACTGGGGAGGGTTGACTGAGGACGAGGGGGTAGTGGTCGAAAGATGGTTAAATACGATCCTGAGTTTACATGTCTGTGCTGGGAACACAGAAAAAAAAGAGCACAGGAAGTGAACGTTTGGGGGGTGAGAGGAGAAGACGCTGCCCCACTGTCCAGAGCCCAGTCTGCTGCAGACTCTCAAGGCATCTGAACACTCTCTCTCTGTTCTGCAGAGCCCCCTCCCCCAATCTCCAGCTGGTTAAGTCCTCATGTTCTCCAAGAGCCTCGTTTGATTCCCATAATCTGGGTCAGAACCCTTTTCTAGAGTCCTGTCTCTCGCTTCCATATGTCTCACTGAAAGCGACTGCTGTCCCAGAAAGCCTGTCATTTCCCTGAGGGCAGGACCCATGTCTGCCCTGCTTCCTGCTCTAGTAGCAGAACAGAGAGCAGAGCCTGCCTAGCACGCGGTGGGTGTTCACACTCAGCTTGGGGCATTCGCAGCTGCGCCTGGAAATAGGAGTTCACCAATAGTTTAGATCCAGGCCCACCAGATCAGTGGTTTTGACCCAGTGTCACACTGGCCATCTTTGATTGTCCTGACTGAGTGTGTTCATGCTACTGGCCTCAGAGGAGGAGTGACTAGGGATGCTACTGAACACCCTTCCAGGCCAGGGCAGTTCCCCACAAAGAGTGATCCAGCCCAACGTGTCAACAGTGTTGAAGCTGAGAAGTCTGGCTGGAGAGACGGGCAAGTCAGCTGGCACAGTCCAGTTCCAATGCGGCCTACTGGCTGTGACGGCCCGAGTGAGTAAGAGCAGAAGCATAGTGGCTGTCACAAGAAATACGGACTTGTGATGTGCAGCCAGGAACCACCTTGGATGGAGCCTCAGTCAAAGGGCCCACCTTGGGCGGTTTCCCCTTAACTGAACTCCAGGCCATCAGCCCAGCCGGCCCAGCCTGGCGCTCGTCTCTCTCTGACTCACCCCGTTTGGATTTCTCCCACTCTTTAGTGGAAGGGTACCACTTTCTTCCCACCCCATCTGCCTTGCTGATTATTTTCAGCTTGGCTTGCAGAGGTCCAACGCTGCAATTACTCACCAACCTCAATGGCTCCTTCTGAAAATAACATTTGGGTGGAAAGAAACCTCAGTCTGGTGGGCTGGATTTTATACGAAATGGTTAAAGCATGGGTGTGGGTATGGGGGTGGGGCAGAGGACAAGGGAGTGGCTCACTGGTACAATTAAGAGAAGAATCTGGAAGAAAGAAAGTGGTAAGGGCTGCTGCGGAGAGAAAATAGGCCTCCTGGACAGGGGTCCTCCCTCACTCTTCCAGAAGCTGCATGCCAAGTCTTCATGCATGCTTCTAATTGAAGGTTCTGTTTGCTGTAATAACTTGTCCCCTCCCCTGATCTCTGAGGCCTGGGAAATCCATGTCTGCCTGGGGCCAGAAGAATTAAGACTATGGGCATACCAATCTTTATCCAAGCTAGTGACCAAATTTTCCGACCCCAAAATAGGAGACACATGGTTGACATAGGATTTTTGCTCTCGGTCCAGGAGAGAACGGCATTCTGGGATATGTAGTTTTCAGATTCGTAAGTGGAATTTCTGATTACATGGCCAATAGAGGAAGAGTAGAGAAGGGCCGGAAGATGGCTCCCTGGGTAAAGTGCTTGCTGTGCAGCATGAGGACCTAGTTTGTCTACCCAGCACTAGTAAAACGCTGAACGCGGTGGAATGCATTTGTGACCCCAGATCTAGGGTATAGGAACAGGCAGGCTGGGTGGTGGTGGCACACACCTTTAATCCCAGCACTAGGGAGGCAGAGGAAGGCGGATCTCTGTGAGTTCGAGGCCAGCCTGGTCTACAGGCACCAAAACTACACAGAGAAACCCTGTTTCAGAAAAACAAAAACAAAAACACAGGCAGATCCTGGAAGCTTGCTGGTCGGCTACTCTAGCCAAAACGGCAAGCTCCAGGTTCAATTTTTAAAAAAGATTTATTTAGTTATTATGTACATTGAGATTTTGCCTGCATGTATGTCTGTGTGAGGATGCCAGGTCCCCTGGAGCTGGAGTTACAGATAGTTGTTAGCTGCCAAGTGGGTGCTGGGAATTGAACCAGGGTCCTTTGGAAGAGCAGCCAGTGCTCTTAACCTCTGAGTCATCTCTCCAGCCTGCTCCAGGTTCAATTTGAGACCCCATCTCAAAGAAAAAAAAAAAAATAAAGAAAGAAAAAGAGAAAAAAGTGGAGAGCGATTGAGCAACTGAGGCAGACACCTGATGTTAACCTCTGGTTTCCACATGTGCACCCATGTACGCGCAAGCATCCGGGCACACACGTGCATAAACACACACACACACACACACACACACACACACACACACACACACACAGGATCCTTGGGGGGGGGAATTATAGATTTATGGAGTACTTTGGTTCAGAGAGGAAAATGAAAAGCAAAGGTAGATAACCTTGTCCCAACCCTTGCCAGGTGTAGTGGGGGTTTTTGTAGGATGAGGTGGAGACTCACTGGAAGCCCCTATGGGATTTCCAAGGAGGTGGGGGGGGGGGGGGAGAAGGTCATGTGAGGTAAATTTTAGAAAAGAAGTGGGGATAGTTCTACATATTTGTTAAAAGTTTATTTCTGGAGTTTTATTCCAGATGGTTTAAATCCCTGGGTGGACTTCCAACGGCAGCTTGGCATCTCTGGCTCTCCATTTCCTCACTTAAGGTGAGTAGGGCAGGGCTGAGGGGACACATGGACTTGATGTTTCAGGAGCGCTGCAGTGGCGAGGGCACTGGAGAACTGAGGCTGAGGGGGTCTCTCCTGAGAGAGTCCAGTGTTGGAATCCTTGCCCTTGTCATCGTTCCCGCCTCTGAAGTCAGAGCCATCCCACTGGTTTTCTGGAGCCATAGTACCTGGGGAAGGAGCCTCAGACAGGCAATGTCCTGTGTTCTATGGGGGATGTTTCCATCATCTGGGACTGGGAAGGAAGGGCCTTCCTCTCTCCAGGACTCACTCTGCTCACTGGTTCAATATGATTTCTCTCGTCCCTGGTTCTGAGAGAGAGGTATTGGAGACGCAGTGGCAAGTGGGCACAGGCTGTATGCTCCAGGAGCTTTTGGTCCAGTGGGCTAGCAGGTCATTGCAGTACAGTGCTATTAACTGCCCTAATCCACACAGGTGCCAAGCCAGAACACACTAAGGGTGGAGTCCGAAATCCACCTCACCTTAGAAGAAAGGAAGGTCATTAAAGAAGAGTCTTCTAGGCTGGGAAGTGAGTACTGAGTTGGCCAGATCAAAAGTGTGGGAAGAACACTGGGCGGTGGTGGCGCACACCTTTAATCCCAGCACCCAGGAGGCAGAGGCAGGGGGATCTCTGTGAGTTCAAGGCCAGCCTGGTCTACAGGGCTAGTTCCAGGACGATTGGGGGTTACACAGGGAAATCCTATCTTGAAAACAAAACAAAACAAAACAACAAAAAGGTGTGGGAAGAAACTGTTACTGGGACTGGAGAGATGGCTCAGCAGTTAAGAACACTGGCTGATCTTCCAGAGGACCTGGGTTCGATTCCCAGCACCTATAGAGCAGTTTGCAACCATATGCAATTCTAGTTCTATGGAATAAGATGCCCTCTTCTGGCCTCAGGGCACACAAATGATGCACAGGTAACACATACAGATAAAACACTCATATACATAAAATAAAAACAAATAAAGCTGTGTGGGGATACGATTGAGGAGATTATCTTTAAAAAGAAGGAAAGAAGCTATTACTATGACCATTCTGTAGTTAAGGCAACAAAAATCTCAGCTCATAGCTGAGGTGAGCCTCCTCCCTCCTACGCCTGGATTGCCTGACACTGGATTCCCGGAGGCCTTCATACAGACCCTGGCTTTGAAAGAAGGGTGTGATTTGGAGAAATCCTTGGGTTCTTCTAGCATTGGGCTTTTGAAGGGAGGCCCTGGAATCAGGCTGATGGAGTTTGCCTCCTGGCTCTGTGATCTCAGGCAAATTGCTTAACTCCTCTGGGCCTCCCTTTTCTTCTCTGTAAAGATGTAGAAAACAACCACTTCCTAGAGCATCATGAGGCAATTGAATGTGTACAGTGCTTAGAATAGTCCTGGAAACGTTGTCAAAAACCTGAGTACAATGGTTATTATTACCTCTAGACACCCCCAATGTGGTAGGTAAGCTAATTTTAGCTAGCACAAAAACATATTTTATTTGAATAGTTCTGAGTTTATTTTCAGGCTGTGGTTTCTCTAATGTTATCGCTTAGGGCAAGGATACATAAAAAAGGGAATCGATTTAAAGTTAATTTAGAGAAACAGTTAATAAAATAAAAGTCAATTAAAATCTATAATACAGGGCGAATGTGGATATGGGAGACAATCGTGATATCTGCAATTTTTGTGAACATATTGACGTGACATGTTCCCTCCCGCAAAGAAAATGTTCAGGGCAAGATAAGAGGTACAGCATCAGAGATCGGGAGGATCGGGAAGGGAGGCGACTCAAAAGCCAACTCTTCAATTTCTCTCTCCAGGCACGTTTGGGGCGATTTCGGCCCCTGTGATTTTTTTTTTTTTTTTTTGGATCACTGGGTCAGTCAGCCAATACCTCCGGAGAAGTCTAATTCAGCTCAGATCGCAAGCGCAGCTGCCAAAGGTCTCCGCGCCTCTGGCTCCGCCCCTCTTCCCCGCCCAGCACATCTGGAGAAAAGCTTCCCGCCGCGGGGCGGGGCAGAGCGCAGCCTGCGCATGCGCGTCGGCGGGCCCGTGTGCGGCACCGCAGGCCTCCACTCCCAGGACCGCGTTGCAAACTGTTGCATCAGACAGCGGCCCGGGCCGCCAAAGGTTTCTAGGAAGATAGCGAGGTTTTGAGCTCCTCCTTGGTGGCTTAGGCGCGTTAACTGCCCCTTCCTGTGTATACAGCCGGCAACACAAACCCCTAAAATCTCAAGCTCGCGGGTCAGGGTGTCATCCGAGGGACTCTCGCTCCCGCCCCCACCCACGGCCGGCAGCGGGCAGGACCGGCTGAACTGTATTGGGTTTACTTTCTTAACGGCAAGGACCCTGAAGGAAAGAGCTGGGTTTGATTTCTCTTTCCGAGTACAAGAATGCCCCTGAGGAATTTCACACTCTGTGAAAGTGCAAAACTCATTTCCCCAGATTAAGCGCTGCAGACGGTTCCCCAAAGGGCTTGGCAAGCTCCCAGCAGAAATGCGCTGGGAGAGTTTCCAGCTCTGTACCCCGGGCAGCTGAACGTGCAGACGACCCTGCGCTAGGAAGGAGGTCCCCTGGCCACTCGGAACGTCTCTGTAGGAAGACACAGTCCTTCCCAGATAGGTCTACCTTTGGTTTATTCCAGGCCCCAGTGTGGTTGAGATTTGGGGCTTCCGACAGAGAATGCAGAACCACACATTCACGCATAGGCGGCGCCTGTATAGTTTTCTTGACTCAAATAGCTCAAGCGTGCCTGACTGCAGACAAATTTGCCTGTCGCTTCTCCCTCACTCCTCCAGGTTCTAGTCCCGCTGCCGTCCTCAAAGGCATCTAGAAGCGCTGGAAAGTCTTGGGGGTGGCACGTTAAGAACACTAAGTGGTCTGGGGATGGAGCTCGGTAGGTGAGCGCTTGCCTAGCACGCACGCATCCCTGCCTGCCAATCCCAGCACACAGTGAGAGTACCATCTGAATCTCACCTCCATTCTTTTCATTTTTAAAAGTAGGTCAAGGCCAAGATCATTCAATGCTAATAGGTTTTCCAGAAAAAAAGAAAAAAAACTGGTATTTTACCTTAAGTATTCTGTCTTTTTTAGGGTGTGGATGGTGAAAGTCTATTTTGACTGAATAATCTTGAGAGTTAACAAAAGCCCAGTGTTCTTCCTTCCCCTGATTATTGAGACTCACTTAGTTCCAAAATGGAATTAAAAAAAAAAAAATGACTGAAAGCCTGGTAAGCTTTATCCAGTGTGTCCCAACAGTCGATGCTGTTTAAAGTAGCATTTTCCCCTCAGCAATGGAATACTATGTCAGTTTGGGATTTTCATTGTGATATGTGCTTCATAAACATGGCACGTTTTGTTTCAGTCTGAGTAGCAGCACTTTTATGAGCCAAAGGAATGGGATCACAAGCCAGCGGGAGAAGCAAGCTATTTACATCCTGGAGCCAGGCAGGAAAGCTGGAGCAGTGAGGCCTGGGCTCATGCTGGGGTCTTTGCTATATCCCTAGCATCAGTATGTTGCAGGCTATCATCCCAGATCTGTGGAGTGAGTGCTCTGACAGAAGGAAAGGCTGCACCCGGAAGGACCACGAAGAAGCCTACTGTTTTGCAGGAGATAGCTGAGGACCACCTGAGGCCTCTTGTGCTGGGTGAAGAGGGCTAATTCTTCTGGCTTAAAGATACAGTGCAGTAGAGACAGCTATTAAGTGACAAGTCTCCTGAGATCCTTTCTACACGGTTTCCCTGTCTGGAAAAGCCACCAGCTGGTAATGCTATAGTTAAGCAATCATTCTACACAACCACACCTCGGGATGTGATCATTGGTAGCCTCACCTGGATTGAATTTCCCAAACAAACTTCTGGAAAAGTAAGAGGCCTGAGTTACAGATCCAGGGGGCAGGAAAAAAACAATCCCCTGTAAAGCTATATCTTACACCCGGATGGTTAGAGATGCAGGCGTATTCGAAAAGGGTGATTCAGTCTCTTCATCGGAGCACACCCATCAGACACTAGACCAGCCCAGACCCAGACAAAGCTCCTGTTCTAAGAGCCATGATTGAAATTCCTCGTGGAAAGTCTGCCTTTGAGACACTCAGAACACCTCATTTAATTCTCATTTCCTTTTTAAGTCAGGTCCCTCCTTCCCGAGAACCACATTTAAAGCTGCTAGCTGGCTTCCCTTCTGTTTTTGCTCTTTGTGTGCCAGCTTCAAGGGTGGGGAGAGCCACGTTAATTTAAAAATATAGCACACATAGCAAAAGGGGGGTTGATTTAAAGTAAAAGCCACAGGAAGGGTTTTCCCCTTCCCTCCGGTGTTTTTCAGACTTCCCTAGATCCACCTTTATTTCCTCAGAGCCCAGACATAGAAAGTGAGCGAGGCTCATTGGCTGCTCTTCCAAACTGAAGCAAAAAGCCTCCAGTGGACTGCGGCGGGTTTTATTCTCCTGTAGGGTCTTTCTAAGCACTCTAGATTTGGGTCAATTGTGTCCTACCCCTTTGGATCAATTGTATCCACTTTTGGGTTTTGGGAATGTGGCTTTAAGGGTAGAGTTCCTAGATCAAATCCTGATCTCATTATTTATTAGTTTTCTGACTTTACATCAAATGGGAATCATTCAGGCCATAGTGAGTCAAGGTCTAAAAAGGGCCTGGAGCAAAAGGAGCGACCAATAGGAGGCGGCTATTATGAAAATAGACCGGTTCATCTGTCGGCTCCCTCCTTAGTTTCCATCTCCCGTTTTGGAACGGAAAGAAAATTCGTTATCTATTTCAAGTGGAGGATCTACCTCCATTTTAAATCACTCGTGAGCTCACCAGAAGGGGAGGCCAGACCGAGCTGAATTTGCAAATACCTAGGCCTTTTAACCGAATGGAAGCCCGGTCTTTGCGCCTTAACAGAACAAGAGCGAACCGGTTGGGATTTGGGAAGCCTTGAAGGGATGTTAATCGCTCAGTCTAAAGAAGCAGGTCTAAGATACGGGGGTGGGAGGAATTCACCTGAAAAAGGAAAGCCGCTGCAAGGTGTCTGTAGCCTGAGCTGACGGCAGTGAAGCTCCATGCGCGTGCGGCAGCGCCCTCTGCCGGCAGCGGGGGCGCAAATCTGGAGCCTGGCCCCGCGGCTGGTCAAATGGGACTCCGGATCCCTTCTGCTGCCTCCGCCCCCGCTCCGTCCCTTCTCGTGATCGCGCAGCCGGGTCTGGGACTGGATTCCAGAAGAGGCGTCCCCATCCTACGCCTGAAGGCAGGAGCAAGGACGCTGCTCTAAAACACCCGGTTCATCAGCAGAGCGGAGGCTGCAGGAACCTACCCAAACCCACCTGGGGCTGCTTTTGCCTCCCGGAAACCTGGGCAGAAGCCTGCGGGGCGGTCGGAGGTGGTTTGGAAGTGGCATCGCCTATGGCCAAGACCGAGGGTTCTGCGGACAGAGAGGAGCCCTGGGTTCGCTTTCTGCCTCATCCAGCTAGGTGACCTTGGGCAAGGTACTTAAATTTCCATGTGCCTTGTTTTCCTCATCTTTAAGATGGAGAGAACGCTCCCGATCTTAACGGGTTGGCTTTGAGGATTACACGAGAATAGACAGCCTAGGTTGGGATTCTGGCATTGACATTGGCTAGCTGTGTGCCCTGGGGCAGGTTACTTAACCTCTCTGCCCTGGTTTCCTGCAAAATGGGGATCATAACGGTACTTACCTCCGAGGGTTGTTGCCTGCAAAGCGCTTAACACTGCCTTGGCAGAGTAAGCGCTCAATAAACTGTGGCTATTATGGCTGTTGTCGTCATTATTGTCCTTAAGAGTGCTGAGCACAGGAGCAGAGCTCTAGCTGGCTGGTTATTATTAGTCTGTTTCTCGGGTCTGGCTATTTCTTTCCCGGCATTGTTAGAAATTTTTATTATTATTATTATTTTATACATAAGCTATTAGCTCAAGTCCTTATCAATAGCTGAAAAACTAAGAGCCTTCCCGAATTAGCAAAATCTAGGTTCCCTGGGAGGAGAGCCAAGGATGCGGTAGCGGGCTGCAGGGACCCAGACCTGCCGGGAGGAAGCCCGCGCCGGGGTTAGTGCGCGTCAGAGCCGCGGTGACGTCGCCAGGCCCTCGGGCCCCGGAGGCGCGGCCTGCGCTCGCTGGGCGCCTGCGGTGGCAGGGATGGCCGGGTGGTACCCAGAGCCGAACTCCAGCTGCTTTGGTGCCCGACTTTCCGAGCCCCGCGCCTGCCGCTGAGGGGCGCACCCGGGGCTGGAGATGCCAACCTCAGCTCGGGTGTTCCCGCCCCGCCCAGCCTGGCGCACCGCTAGCCTCTTGGAGACTGCTCTGCATCGTCTTGATCCCCCCTTTCCCGGTCCTCTATCCTCCAGAAACCCATTCCTCATCATCCCGCAGGGCCCCAGCTCAGTTTCTGCTTCCTCTGCGTTTGTTGTGACCGACTCCTCCTCGGTTTCTGGCTCCTCCCACTTGCCCGCAGCGCCGGGAGCACGCCCCGCAGGTCCACTTAGCTTGCCATGCACGCGTCTCCAACTCGCCGCATCTTGTCCCCGTTACTCTCCATCGCAGTGAAGGTGACACCACCCACCCGATCACTCGAGATGCGTCCTGGATGCTTTTCCCAGCAGTGGCTACTCCAGCCTAAGCCGCTCTGTCTGTGACCTTGTAAAGTACCCTCACTCCGTTGGCTATTAACATGTTTCTTTCCAAGACCTACTGAGTCTGTCCTGCTTCGTTCAGATCCTTTTTCTAACAGGCCGTGAGCTCCCTACACCCCAGTTAACTCAAGCCTTGCAGCTTCTGCAGGGCGGCCTGGTGCTCCAGGCACTCCCTATTTTCCTGAGCACGCAGGTCTGCCATTTTCTAACGCCTCATAAGCTAGTCCCAGTTTAGACCCTGCCTGGGTCGCGCTATTTAAGGTGTTCAGTACTTACCCCACCTCCGATTACCTTCCTCTTATTCTCCTGAACTCAAGAGTTTCCGCTTCAAGGATGTCCCCTCCTCCTGTTCTACTATCCGGAAATGTTTTTGGGCCCCGATTTTGTCGAGCTCAGAGGAGACACACGACCTTTCTAGGTGGCCAAATGTCTGTGCCCCGCCCCCATTCCACTCCTTTCTTTCCTTAGCTGGGTTCTTTCACATGGAACACCCTTCCACCCATTCTGTTTTCCTCATCCCCCTCCCCCATCCTAAAGAACACCCCCCACGCCTTCTCCCCACCCCACCCCAACCTCGACTTGATAGGTCAAAGGCCAATTTAAAAAAATCTAAAGCTTACAAAACTACATTTATAAAAAGCTTACAAAAACTGCTTGTTTAAACCACATGTTTTCTTTTCTTTGTTAAAACGTAACATTTCCCTATTCAATCCAGTTTCTTAAAAGGAGACAAACCCTTTGGATCTGGATGGAGTCCTCGGAACCAATTTCTGTTCCTTCCCAACAGAGTCACGTTAGTGTTTTGGTGCTTCATTCCCACGCATGCTTTTGTGGTTTTACTCCATACCTTGGTGCCTGTAGGCACTTCAAAAGAGTCATCTGAAATGATTTTAAACGTTGAAGAGATGCTATTAGACTGATGATTGTGTAACTTGCTTTTTTTGACTAGGCAGCATGAACCCACATTAATGTATGTATTTCTAGATCTTCCTTTCTCACTGCCCACGAGGGGCCCATTTTATGAAGTCAGCACACTTTATTTTCCCAGTCTCCTTCTGGAAGATATTTAGCTCATTTTCACTTTATTTTCTGTTAGAAACAATGCTATAATAGCTTTTTAAAAAATCCCATTCCCTGGAGTGAAAGCAGACTTCGGGTAGATAGTTGGGTGTGGGATTGCTGGGCTCAGGACATAGAAACTGGAAGCTTTGTTGGGCACGGCTCAATGGGTTTTCAAAGTGGTTGTACTAATTCACAGTTCCACGAGTTATGTGAGAGTTCCCCCATGTTCCACATCCTCAACACTTGCTAATGTCAAACTTTAAAGATGTTGCCAAGCCGATGGTGTGAAGTGGCATTTCAATGTTTTAATTTGCAATTCCCTGTTTACAAGTGATAGAGATCGGAGCATCCTTTCTCTTTATTGGCCATTTGCCTTTCTTCTTTTTTTAAAATTGGCCATTGGTTTATTTGACAGTGCAGTATTGATCATGTCTTAGTATGTGTAGGAGTTCTTTATATATTCTGGGTACTAATCCTTTGTCAGTCTGTGGCCCATCTGGTGTCTTTTATTCCATTCAATTGCAGTTTTAAGTTGATACGATTATTGGATGAATATCTGATTTTTCTGTTAGACAATGAGTTTATGAGAAGAGGGACTATCTCTTGTAATAAGTGCAATATTAATACATACCGGGAAGTCAATAAATACTTCTGACTGAAATGTATTGATAATTGACATTATTATTATTATTATTAATGTGTCTGCTCTCCTTCCTCTAGCTTTTCCCCTCAATTGCTTGAGAGCAGGAATCTGGTGATATTTTATTTCTTTGTGTCCCCAATGCCCACTGAAGCACAGTACTTTGATCACAGAGCATGCATCCAGTGGTTTTTAAGTTCCTTTGTGGTTTCTCTTTCTATTTTTCCACCTCATTCTTCTCAGGTCATCTTCTATCTCTGAGCCCGGTTTTAGCTCTGCAAGAAGAATAAATAATAAATATCTCCTGTGTGTTTGTGGTAATATACGAGATATGTAAAAATGAAGTACTTGACACTTAGCTATCAATAAATGGTGACTTTCAGTGGCCCCACAACAATCATTTTGGTCACTAAAGGTACACTGTCGTTAATTTTAACAGAAAGATCTTTCAGAGACAGAATAAAAGTGATCCTCCTAAAGATGTGGTGACCGAGTTTTTCCCCCTTTTTTCTTTTTCTTTCCTTTTATTGGCATTTGACCCACAATGAAGGCTTGGTTCCAATGTGGACTCTGAAAAGCATCAAATATCATTCTTCTGCCTTTCTTTTCTAAATTCCAGATATATCAAAGCATGTGAACTGTACATAGAATTCCAGCCTTTAAGAGGAAACATAAAGGCCAGTCCTACATCTTTGGCCAGAAGTCAGAGAGCAGAGAAGGTCTGTGAGCAATGCTAGAGCCAGTTTGAGGTGGTGCAGCTGAGACAAAAGCAGAATTCTTACATCTGTTTCCCACATCTGCATTGATTGCATGACCTTTGATCTATTTATAAAATGAAAATAATAACTCTTGCTTTTTATGGAGCAAGGATTTTATGGTTAAAATTCACTAATTACTCGTTGAAAAGTCTTTGAGATTCCTGACATGAAAGGCAGTTTGCATTTATTTAAACAGAGCTTCCCAAAGGTAAACGGCCTTGCAGAAACACTGTCCCCACAGACATAGCATGTGCGCTGTTTTGCCAGAACATGAGGCCCAGGAGAGCGGATCTAACCCCCTACAACACACCACCACCATTTGTAAGTCACCTACAGGCCAGGCGAGCTCAGGCAGCTGGCTGACCCCCTTTCGCCTACAGCCTGACGTTGGCATGAATGAGCAGTTTCTGGGCAGCCGTATTTGATCATGAGAAACTTGCCAGGAGGCCTGTTATCTCCAGGGCTTCATCCCTGCAGGAGGAAAGCAGGTGTCTATACTGAGTTCACTGTGATTTGAGCCCTCCAGAGTGAGCGCTGAGCCACAAGGACTGCTGGTATAGGTACTTTCCAGAAAGGCCTGGGAGATGCGTCAGGAGAAGGTGGACTGAACCCAGAAAGGCCCAGTGGAAACTGAGCTTTGCCTTACAAGAGCACAGACACACGGCAGGGCCATCTCATGCAGCAGCCTGCGGGCTTTGTCCTTCCTGTACTGCAGGGAAGCAGCAGCCATGTAGTTAGTGTGTGGGCTGACTGAGGAGAGAGCCATCCAGGCAGATCTCACTGCTCAACCCCAAAAGATCACTAAACCTCTGAGCCTCAGGCCTCAGCTGTGGGTCAGGATAAACACACCAATCTGTCAGAGTTACCAGGGAGCTCACAGTCAGTGCGTGTTAGCTCAAAATACCAAAACTCCATTTAAGACTGAGTACATTTTATTTCCTTTAATTAAATTAAAAAAAATTTTTGTGTGTGTGGTACTGGGGCTTGACTCAGTACCTTGAACTTGATAGATAAGATTGTACTGCTAAGCTCCACTACCAGCCCTCTTTTTACTTTTTATTTATTTTTTAAATATGGGGTCTCACTCCTGGTCTCCAACATGCATGTGTGGAGGGAAGCACACACATACACTAGAGAGAGAGAGCGAGAGAGCGAGAGAGCGAGAGAGAAAGAGCGAGAGAGAGAGAGAGAGAGAGAGAGAGAGAGAGAGAGAGAGAGAGAGAGAGAAGAAAACGAAAATTTACGCTTGAAAAATTTTTTCAAGACAGGGTTTCTCTGTGTAGCTTTGGAGCCTGTCCTAGAACTCACTCTGTAGACCAGGCTGGCCTCGAACTCACAGAGATCTGCCTGCCTCCCTAGTGCTAGAATTAAAGGCTTGC